ACAAGTAGCAAGCCCCTGCTCAGCTGCTTCAGGAAAAACACTCTCTTGCCTCTGTGGCGTCCAGTGCGGATGATCGGAATGGACCAGGAGTGATGCTGGCTCGCAGCTCTCTCACTGCTGACTGAAGGGTTTTTTGCTCTGGCTCAACAGCTTTGGAGGCACATCTTCAGTAGGATAATGCCTAGGCATTTTGCGCAGTTTAACCACCCAGGTACCACCGATCTTGTCTCCAGCAACTGGCTTTGTGACAGTCGCAAGAACCTTCTCCTCCTTTTTCGTTTTGATCCTGAATTTAGTGGCCGAGTATTTCCTCTTGCACAGGACCTTCCTGGAATACATGGCACACTGGGAGTATCTGCCGATGCCCAGGACTAGGACGGGGTTTCGGCTGCAATGGGGCTTCCCCTTCTTGGGCTTTTTAGCCTTGGGGTCACCCTTTTTAACCTCACCACTGGCATCAGCCTTCTTGGCTTCAGGTTTCTCCTTAGTATCCTGTTACGCAGCTTTTTCACCTACTGTCTCGTATAGTGGGAAAGAGCAGGACCTTTCTCATGTGTCCAGAGCATTATCACCATGTCTCCACCTGGCCCCAAGTTTTATAACTTTTCAATGTAGGGATCTGCAGGTGGCATAGTGGTTAAGGTGCTGGACTCCCACATGTCAAACCTCAGTTCAAGTCCCAGACCCAGTAGCTTGAAACTCGTGCCAGGTATGTGTGCATGTGTGCCCAAAATCTCAGGAGAATAGAAGAGAAGGGATTGCAGCACGGCCAACCCCTCAGAGGGTGATTTCTCACTTTCCCTCTCACTGTTTCTTTCTCTCTCTGTCTCTGTCAAGTGCTCACCTTACAGCAAAAGTCTCTCTTAAAAAAAAAAAAAATTTAATATGGTGACTCTACTTACAATCCTAGTAAGACTTCAGCCTAAAATGACAAGTTTAAATCAAGTATTCAATGACCTAATTTAAATGAGAATCTCAAGACCTATCATTTAAGTGCTCTAATGTTACAAATTATGTTAAGCATGTCAAGAACTTGAAATCCCAAATATGCACAATATACCGCATGCAACAGTAAACTGTTAGTCTAACTCTTTTAAGCTTTTCTATGCAGAATTCAAAATCTACCTGAGACCGAAAGATGATTGCCCAGCAAGAAGCTCTTTGTGGATTACCTTCACAAGTAATATAGGCAGAAGGAAGCAATTTCTCAGGAGATTCCGTGCCAAGATTGTTCCTGTGACCCCGACTCTCAGGCAGAGCCTGCTTTTATAGGCACGATGACGTGGTCTCCAACACTTACCAAAGGGGACTAAATGCCCACAGCCAGGGATTTGAGTCATACCACTTAATTTTCAAGTGTGCGTCTCTAATATCTCTCTCATTAAATTTGCTATAGGGTGCATGCACTCACCAGAGAGAGACAGAGAGAGAGGGAAATTGAGAAATCACCCCCTGGAGGGTTGCGACACTGCAGTCCCTTCTCCTCCATTCTCCTCTCAGGATTTTGGGCATGCGCATACACGTGCCCCATGTGTTTTTCAAGTCACTGAGTCCAGGACTCAAGCTCATGGTCGATGATATGGGATCCAGCCACCTAACCACCACGCCTCTGACTGCCCTGTCTCTAATCTCTACCCACATGTTGTACCACGTATTGGAATTCAATGTATCATTTGTTTACTGCTCCTCTTTTCTCTGAAATCTCAGACTCTGGGGCCAGACTGCCTTGGGTTGAGTCCTGGCCCTGTCAATTATTAGCTGTGTGACCTTGGGAAGATATTTAACCTCTATGTACCTTAATGTTCTTGTTCAAATAGTAGATGTTATGAAAGTACCTACTCAGAAGGTTAGTCTGAAGATTAAATGAGGTATTGTGTGTAAAGCCCTTTAGAACAGTGTAATTCAAGGGTTTGCTGTGCCCATCACGGTAACTTGTATTAGGACAACAATTTGCAGAGACTCGTAACTTCTTGGGTTATTTTAAGGAGCCATTTCTTCCTCCAGCCTCTTAAGCATGTCAAATGCTCCCTCTGCTGGGCAAAACTTCAGGCTTGGACTGAGCCCCAGAACCAGCAGAGTCTAATTTCTTCCAAGAGTTGAGCGTTGCAAAAGGAGTTGATGTCCCTTTAAGAGGTGGTAGCCAGCTCCAGGTTGCCATGGAGACAACTGGACACAGACCCGGGAGGCAGCAGACAGCATGTCCTCTCAAGTTCACTCCATAGGTGGGAGAGCTGCTGGGACTGGAAAGACAGGGACCTCTTCTCCTTCACCATCCACGTGGGGGTGGTCTTGGAGGACTCCACTCTTGGGGTCAGGGTCAGGACTGGGGTACCCCTGCCCCACCCCTGCCCAGGGTCTGCCTCTTAGCCTCTCTCCCCTCTGCAGGCCAAGAAGCCAAGGAGCATCTGTCACTCCCAGAGGCCAATGCTGAAGCCATCAGCTTCCTCAGCTCCTTGGGTGAGCCCAGAGGGCCGGCAGGGGTGTGAGTCCCGGGAGAAAGAAGAGGGGAGAAGGGAGGAGGGAAGGCCCGGATTGGCCCAGCTCCTGGAGCCTTGATTCTCCCAGCTCAAAGACGCCTGAGCCCTATTTGGTCATGGTCACATTGCTCAAGGGAAGCCCTAGGGACATGGAGGCAGGGTCCTCACCTGCTGGCTCCTGTTGCTGCAGGGGAGGCTGAACCCCCGGGGAGAGCCCGGACAAGGGAGGTAGGTGGGAAGCAGGGGTTATGGCAGTCAGGGGTCAGAGCAGTGAGGCCTAACAGGGGCCTTCCCCCCACCCTCGCCCCGCCTTGTCACCCAGAGAAGGAGGAGCTGCAGAAGCTGTTCTTCTCTGAGACTCTGGCCATGGTCTCGGACGCGGGGGAGCCGCAGGGAGAGCTGACCATCGAGGTGCAGCGAGGGAAGTACAAAGACGAGTTCGGAGTCCTGACGCGCTGCATCCTCGTGCACGCCTTTAGCCGAGGCCTCTTGGACAAAACGCTCTGCGGAAACTCCCTGCTGGGTAGGGCTCCCCGGGCATCCCTGGCACCCCCATCCTTCCTCTGCCGCCCCGCCCCACCGCCACTCAGGATCCTTATTCAGGATCCACCCTATGACTTCGCCTTGGGACCAGAGGAGGCAACGGGACAGGGATGGGGGACCGGGCGGGGAGGTTATTCCCAGCCACAGTCATGATGGTTGGTCAGCGGCGCCGACCGACGCGTAGTTCTCTGCGGCCACGTTACGCCTACTCCTCCCGCCTGAGCCGCCCCGTCCTTTCATCCCTTTCATCTCCGACGCTCCTCTGCTGTGACCTCGGTGTGGTCTCCCCGCACTCCAGGCTACTTCTCGGAGAGACTGGTGCTCATGGAACAGCACAGTCAGGAGTTCATCAAGGTACTTACTAGTGCCCAGCCTTGATCCCCATCCAGGGTGAGGGAGGATGGGGCCCCAGTTGAATGTCACCCCCGGTACAACCCACGACTTGAAAACCAATTCCTCCGTCGGCCGCAGGTGGCTCACCAGCAACGCCCATTCTCCTCCTGCCGTGCATTGCTTCTCTCCCTCCCTCCCCCCAGAGGGCGCCTGTGCTGTCCAGAGAGAGACAGCAGGAGAAGGGAGAAAGCACCCCTCCCCATTGGGGATGGTCGTGCGCCAATCTCTCTTCCTCTGTCCTGTCGGAATTTGGGGCACACATGCACGCACATGGGCCCGGAGTGTTTTTCAAGTCACTCGGCTTGACCCTCAGGGGCGGCTCTGTGGGATTTGGCTGCCCTAGCCACCAGGACAGAGAGCTGCCAGCCTTCATTGCTTCTTAATTGTTTTTATTTTTTTAAGAGAGATTTTTGCTATAGGGTGGTGCACTCGACAGAAAGAGAGAGAGAGACAGAAAGAGAGAAATCACTCCCCAGGGGGGGATAGCCACGCCACAATCCCTTCTCCTCCATTCTCCTCTCAGAATCTTGGGCATGCATGCACATGCGCCCAGCGTGAGTTTAAGTCACCTGGTCCGGGACTCAAACTGCGGTGGACTTCGTGGGAGTCCAGTGACATAGCCATTACGCCAACTGTTGGTCCCTATTGCTTCTTAATTTTACATTACACCATGAATGTCTGTATTTTTGAGCTTTACCATGTATGAAAGGGTTATTTGGGGGGTTCATTGTTTAAATCAAAAATTTTAAACCCAGTTTCTTTTTTTTTTTTTTTGAGAGGTTTTCGCTATAGGGCGCGTGCGCTCGCCAGACAGAGAGAGACAGAGAGACAGAAAGCGAGAAATCACCCCCCAGAGGGGATGGTCACGCCGTAATCCCTTCTCCTCCATTCTCCTCTCGGGATCTTGGGCACGCACGCACACGCGCCCGGCGTGAGTTTTAAGCCACTGGGTCCGGGGCGCAAACCGCGATCGACTACGTGGGAGTCCAGCGACATAGCCATTACGCTAACTGCTGGCTCCCTATACCCAGTTTCTGAGCCAGTCCCATGGGCTATTGGTTAAGGGAGCAGGATCCCACATGGCCCACTACACGCAAGTTCCAGACCTGGTGGCTTGAGAAACATGCCAGACACGGGTGTGTGCATGCCCCAAATCCTGACAGGATGGAGAAATGGAAAAGGGATTGTGTGGGACCTCACCCACTGGGGGGTGCTTTCTTCTATCCTCTCTGGCCAGTGCATGTGCCCTCTGGCAATTCAATAAAAATGACAACAAGCACCCAGTTTTCTCATTTGTAAAGTGGGACCCATCAGGTAGCATGGTGGTTAAGGTGTAATCAACCGCGGCACGACTCCCAGACCCTGTGAAACTCATGCTGGACACGTGTACATGCCCAAAATCCCAGAAGGAAAATGGAGGAGAAGGGATTGCAGCACAGTCATCCCCCCTGGGGGGTGATTTCTCACTTTTCTGTCTCTCTGTCTCTCCTATAGAAAAAAAAAATCTCAGCGGAAAAAGAGACCTATAGAAAAAAAAAATCTCAGTGGAAAAAAAGATGGGACAGGTGCCCGTAGAGGGGACAGGTGCCCGTAGAGGGCCCCAAGCACCCCTGACTCCCCCTGTATGCTCTGGCCCTTAGTTCCTCATCCTCCCCATGGAGCGGAAGATGAGTTTGCTGAAGCAGGATGACCAGCTGGCCATGACCAGAAGCGTCAAGGAGGGTGAGGTAAACTCGAGGGCCAGGTGGGAGCCACAGTGCACTCTCAGATCCCTGAGCAGGGCCAGTTAGTCAGGCGGGGAGCCTTGCTGAGGACTTGGTAAGGACCACATCTCCAGCACCCGGTTTGTCCACCTGAGCTGGATCTGTCCTGAACAGGAAGTGAAGACCGGAGTGACCTTTTTGCCCTGGCACTCAACCGCAGGCTTTGTGTCCGAGGCTGCCAACCTGGTGCTTCTGAGGGTGATGGCCTGGCAGCAGAAGGTGCCCAGCAACGCCCGTTTCCTGGCCTTGGACTCCGAGGGCAAACTCTGCCATTCCACTTACGTGAGGGCTCTCCCTGGGCAGGGGCTTTGCCTGGGGGCAAATTAGAGGGCATGGTGGGCACTGAGCCTAGAGAAAGGACAGCCATGGAGTGGAAGAGGGTCGGGGAGAGGACAAAGAGGGGGATGGGAGTCAGGCTTCCAAGGTGGGAGAAAGCAAGAACCGTATTGGTCAGAGAGAAGAGGAAGGTGGGCAGGCGGGGTGGGTGGGAGGGATCCGAAGTGGGGAGATGGTGTTTGTTGTACACAAGTCAGTCCAGGAAAAACAAACACAGTAGAGGGTAGTCTTAAAGATGCATAGTTATGGGACCAGCAGGTGGTGTGGCGATTAAGGCGCTGGACACTCCCACATGGCCAACCATGGTTTGAGTCCCAGACCTGGTGGCTTGCTTTCTCACT